GGAACCAGTAACGGAGGCGACAGGAGCGGAAGAACTGGCGATGGTGGTGGCAGCGGAAGGAACATGAAGCCAGTCCAGCTCCCAAAGACCCCGAGAATCACGGCGGCGAGGGCCAGCCCCAACCAGAGTGTGCGTGCGACGGTCCTGGACAAAACAAGAGTCAACGTCAAGGATGACGTGACAACCAGAATCCGTAAGTTGAGGAACATGAGCAACATCAGGAACAGAATAAGGAGTAGTAAGATTGCCTCTACTAGCAACAGAAAGTGGAGTACCATCAGCAGTGAAGACATGAACAGGAGAATCCAGTGATCGAAGAGAGGACAAAGTGGAAGAATGAGAAGACATATGAAAAGAAGCTCCAGAGTCCAGAACCCATGGGGATGTACCTGACTGTGTAGAGGGTGATTGCTCAGTGCGGGAAGCATCAGTCACAGAACCAGCAGTACCCGTCGAGGAAGAACCTGAAGCCGCGAGCAGACGCTTAAGTCTCAGAATATCCTGCTCAGTCAAAGCAATGGCTGAAGTTGTCGAGGTAGATGACGAAGTCCCTGAAGATGATGATCGAGCCTTGCGCAGGTGTTTCTTCTTCGTGTAGCACTGAGACTCAAGATGACCATCATTGCTGCAATAGTCGCAATGTGGACGGGGGCGACCTGAGCCTCCAGAAGGAGTGAGCAAGAGCGGCGGAGTACTCGAGCGAGAAGGGGTCGGTGCAGCAGGTGGCATAGGAGCACGAGTAGCGAGCACAGAGGGAACCTCCAGCAAACCAGCACCATGTAAGCGAGTCTCCTCAGCACGAATCTCAGAAAGCGCCTCCATGAGAGAAATACGGCCACGAGCAAACAACTGAGCACGCCGGGGCTCAAACTCCTTACGGAGCCGAGACAGGAACTCATAGACGCGATGAAACTCTAAATTGGCCTGGACAGCCTGGCAACAGGGGCAGGTACGACACCCAGCACTACGAAGAGAATCAAGCTGGCGCCAGATAGCAGAACTCTGTGCATACAAGTCATCAACAGTAGAGTCACCCTGCTGAAGAGCATGCTCCTAACGGATCACAGAGAGGTATAAGGCATCACCAGAGGGCTGATAGCGCTCACGAAGACGGGTCCACATCTCAAAGACGGTAGGAAGACCCAGAAATTCAGAAGCAAACTGAGGCAGAACACTAGCAGTGAGAACAGCTGCAGCACGAGCATCATCATCAAGCCACTGGGTGTAAACAGACAGAGCACCATGATACGTCTGAAGAGCCTCCTCATAAGCCAAAACCCTCTCATCATAAGCACGATCAGCAGCCTCATCAGCAAGCTTAGCCGCATCCTTGGCGACCTGATTAGCATCCGTAGGAAGAACCGATGGAGTTGGCGGAGTAGGGGCCACCGGAGGAACTGGACGTGGCGGACAGCAGACCTCGCCAGAAAGAACACCCCAAAGACGGATGCCATGCATGTGAATGCGCATGAAGCCAGTAAACTCGGTGTAGTTAGTACCATCAATGATCACCGGACAGCGAGGGACAGCAACATAGCCCGATGCAGCAGACATTTTTTTTTAGGAATCCGAAGTCGGGCCTGCGAGCGAGAGATGAGATCGAGCGATCAGGCGGAGGTGGCAGTGCGGGAGGGAATCCTTCCTGCGGGACGAACCCCTGCTGGGCCTGCGGAGCGATCACGCAGAGGCGGCCTTCGAGCGATGCTGAGATCGAGCGATGCTGAGGCGGCCTTCGAGCGATCGATGAGTCCTGCGATGCTGAGATCGAGCGATGCTGAGGCGGCCTTCGAGCGATCGATGGAGTCCTTCGAGTGATTCAGAGATCGAGCGGGAGCGGCAGCTTGATCACCGATCGGGAGAGGAGAGAGATCGCCCCCTGCGGCCTGCTGCTTCGATCGCCGATCGGGAGAGGTGAGAGATCGAGAGAGAAGATCGATCTGGAGAGGAGGGATCGAACGCACGAGTTGCAGCGTGCGAAAAAATTAACCTAGCTCTAATACCATGTTAGGAATATGCAACTTGTATTCCCATGAGGCCATAGGCCGATATATATATACATGTACAGGTGTGGAACATATGCAGGAAACCCCTTATACAACGGGATAAATACAAAGGGGTACATGAGTTATATTATAACTCTAACAGAAGTGAGGGAGTTTTGTGCAAAGGAGCTAGCAACTGTGCGCTCATAGCCATCCCCCATAATCTGGTCCATCTATCCTGGAACTGATGGCTCATATAGATTTTTTCTATTTCTCTAAAGGTAAAGGCAGATTGGTTTGCCCTCACATAACCAAAAGAAATCCCTAAGAACCCTCAGGATCTATTTATCTTTATTTCAAGGAGCCATAGCACCATAATATTCTGAATTCTCAATTAATTTACCTAATCTCTCCTGAGCTTATTCTGTACATGTGACTGAAAATTAGATTTGATCTTTATATATTGGTTTACATTGAGAAATTGTATATTCTATGAAGAACTCGATTATGTTCAACATCTGATTTACCTTTTGCTTTTTAGATATTTATGGATATTTATGGATCAACCATTTCACTTCAAGAGAATCTGAGTAAATTAGACATAAATCTGTTGAGCGAGATTGCTTTTGTTAGATTGGGAATGAAGCCACGCGACTTTTATTCGACATATGCTGGAAAAGTTTTGGAGCCAAATCGTCTGCTTTCATGTTATCAAATCCCAAGAGATTTAACAATTAAACTCAACGCTCGTCTGCGAGGTGGTTGGTACGTGAAAATCTAATTATCCATTCACCTTCCATGATAAACGCTTGTCTGCGGGGTTAAGATTCTTGTTTTGGACATGAGGGGGTACAGTGGCCCAACGGGATATTTGTGGGGGTTATCTATACTTTCTTTTTTTCCTGCAATACTTCGGGTCCCTGAACATTGGAAAACACTAATTTTGTTTGTTTTGCAGTGCTGGTCACAACTGGGATTATGTAATCAGTGCTCTGGATCCATACCAGCGTGTGCCTTTGCCAGGGGACCTACTTCTCCCGGAACAGGCCATCATACAGCCACAAATGGAAGTGAAATATCTGGCACGTCTCCTCCAAGTTCGATGTAAAAAAGTGCTAATCTACCTGTGCCGGAAGCACTTTAGTGGCCATTCCTTCGGAGGTAACTTCAGTTCCCAGCAAATTATGTTTGACAGCGATGGAAATGTCCGTATCGATGCTGCCCCAGAAGAATATAGTCGGCCTTCTGCCTTGTTGGACTACAATGCTGTTTCTGTAATCTTTGACCGGGCCTTAGGAGACGCAGCTGACAAATATCCAATGGATTTTTATCATCTGATTGATTTCTTGTCAGCTAGAGGTCCAAATGTTGACTGTCAAAGTAAGGGAGTGATTGCTTTTGTCACAAATCACATTTCTCTCTTGACATATTCTGAAAGGATCAATCACAGTGCATTTCTGGACCTTTTGATTAAAAGGCTTGGTGAAGATGATCTAACCGCCTTGAAAAAAGTTCTCGTGCATTTTAATCGGGAGCTCAAGTTGAGGCAGATTCCAGCAATGAATCAAACGTACACTTATATTTGGTGGGAAGATGATTTTGGGAGCATATGGTACCCGTACAAGAATAATGAAGTCAGTTTGCTTGGGTTTTCTCACAATTTCTTCAAACACCGCTTAGTAAGATATTTTTTCAAATATTCTCTCTTGTATTTAAGTTTGACAAGCTATTTTTGTATGACAAGCTGATAAAACTTATTTTGATGCAGGGGTTCCCATTAGATAAGCTTGAAGCAGCGTTCTCATTGGTGATGGCTGACAAATATTTTCTAGCTTCTATGCTGTTTAGAATTTTAGTTAGATTCAAAAGCAAATGCCAGCAGCCATGCCCTGCATCGATTGAGACTTTTGTTGATGAAGTCAAATGTGAGCTATGCACTTGCTAGTTGGTAATCATACATAATATGTCAACTTATCTGATATGTTTTTTGCTTATTTGCAGGCTTGGTGATCACACAGTTGATTGTGAGATGGTCCAAAATAACTGATTTCAAGCGCAATGCCTGCGGGTGACTGACTGTTTAGCTAGATGGCCTGCTACGCTTTTTGTGAGAGTTGAATGCATGTCTAATACTAGTGGCAAGTGGTAATTGTTGTAACCCTTTGAGCCTGGTTCAACATTACAAACTGAAGTTTGCATTGTACTTCGTACCCATTACCTTGTTCCACTTGGTAGGGGTTAACTTAATTTTTCTGCTTGTGGCTTCCGAGTTGGTTTGGCTGAGATCTGCTTCCAAATGCACTGCTACTCTTTGGTGTTTGTTCTTGTGCTGGACACTCGGGTGGTGGCTTGTTGTGTGTGTTTGTTCATTCCTTGGTTTTGTTGCACCTTTGGTTGAGTCCTCGTGTACGTACACAATTCCAGGCTCTTTCAGCTTGAAAATATATTGTTTCAACGAGATTGTCATCCAACTGGACCTTTTCACTTTTTTCAGCTTGAATTTTTTGTTTCATTAATTCAGAATAGGCACACTCAAAACAAGCGATTGTACGCCTTGTGCTGCAACCAGTCTTTGACCACTAGTCCAGAGGGTCAAAACAAGCGATTGTACGCCACAGGCCACCAAAAATGTGTGCAAACCAAATTTCATGTGGTAAACACATTCAACTTTAGACATATTTGTTTTCAAATTCTTTTTAAACTTTATAAACATGGGTTTTTTCATATTTTTTTTCAAACACCACAAGTTCACGCTACAGAACAAGATCCAAAGCCTCATGTCTAGCAGCATACAATAGTTAACAAATTTGGGCAAGCAAACAGCGGAGGGAGGCATCAAAGTAGTTCTCATACATAATGACATAGAGCCATGACTCATACATAATGCATTCTACCCAAAATCCAAGTTTAATAAATAAAAACAGTTGATAATGACCACATTAAATGCCTCCAGTGGACCCACACAACATCAAGTGATAATGATGCGGTCTAAATTTCCACTTGATGTGTTGCAACATCTCAGGCCTTCGTCTTCTTTCCACTTGCACCAAACTCGCTTGCTTCTATCTCTCTCTGGCAAAAAGAAACATAATACCTTTAGTGTGACCATATGACAGGTTATAATTACCTAAAAACAATTTTAAAAATGAAAAAACTGCAAGCTATAGTAAACATGCATCGATATTAATTATTTGGGAAACACCCAACACAATGTCTAAAGGTCAGTCTAGGATGCTCTGAATTAAAATGTTTGAAACAGCCATCTGTGTCAAGGGTACATTTATTTACTTTTGACATCTTTCATTCAGACACTGTCAGTGCTCAGCTCTAGTTTGAAATTATGCTTCATCTGCTATGTGCATCTTTGAATGGACTTGGCTCATACCAATTCCAAGTTCAGAAACGAACTACACATACGCTGCTATATTCAATGAATGCCTTAAAAGTGTAGGGGTGAAGCTAATGACAACACTATGGTTTGCAAGAAGTTCGGTACTGATATGACAAGAAAAAAGATAAGAAAAAACAGCCTTAAAACATGCAAAAGAGTGTCATGATAATGTGCAAGAAGTTCGGTACTGATATGACAAGAAAAAACAGCCTTAAAACATGCAAAAGAGTGTCATCATGATGTGCAAGAAGTTTGGTACTGATATGACAAGGGGGCAGAGTAATTTGGTAGTAAAAATTGATTCCAGAATCATGATTGCCGATAAGCATCAATATCAGACATCTACTGTTGAACAAGGGGAGGCGACCAAATATCTTGATTTCTATTCAAAAGTATGAAGCAAACTGGATGCAATAAACAAGCATTGGAATTTTAATCATTTTATAAAATCTTAGCAAAATTACAATAGCACGCCTGCAAATGAAAGCATGTTCAGGTAGTGACAATTGATTACAGAATCATGATTGCGGATGAGCATCTATATCAGACATCTACTGTTCAACATGAGGAGGTGGCCAAATATCTTGATTTCTATTAGCGAGTATGAAGCAAACTGGACGCGATAAGCAAGAATTGGAATTTTAATCATTTTATAAAACCTAAGCAAAATTATAGTAGCACGCCTGCAAATGAAAGCATGTTCAGTGATAGTGAACATACATAGATAAAATGACAGTAGTATGCAAATGAAATCATGCTTGGTGGTGGTAGTAGTACCGGGTGATCCTGTCGTTGGTGCGCACTGAACTCACTTGCAAAGAGCTGGGAATAAATATGTGTCGTCTTCTGTTGATAGACCTGGACATCGTTGTTATTCCCCATGTCGACACGAAGCAAATACTGGGCCTTGTGCACTAGTCGACGGTCCTTCCCCACCACACGGGCATCGTTTACGACTAGGTAGACGACGCTGTCTTGATGGATGCTCAGGACAGGGAACGACGGACCAAGCTGTCCCAAACCAGCAGACTGGTAGTTGGCGTTTGCCCAGATGTCTCGGACCCTGCACTGGTAGCTTATGCTCCACCCTGAGTGGTCAGGGTAGAGAGTCCAGACGGTCAGTCCATATTCTTCGCCGGGCTTGCGTTCAACAAATTTATTGAAGGCAAGGAACTTGATGGAGCCACGAACACAGGCCACGGAACGGAACTCCTCAGCGCAGAGGCCGTCTGGATGTTCGGAGGCATCATAGTTTGGACGTCCTTGGGGCAACTCAATGAAGCTGAACTTGCAGCCTTGGTGCAGATCACAGAGCACCATGCCTTGGTGGAGATCTACCCAGCAGAAGGTAGAGCCCCGATAAGAGAAGCACGAGTGAATGGAGAAATCCATGGCGATGTCGGGTGGAAGGGGCAGGCAGCCGGGCTTCAAGACCCATTCTTTGGCAGACGACTCCCACAGCCAGACGGCGGCTCGGGAGAACCCTGGCATGACCCAGACGAGCTCGGCAAGAAGGTAGCCACCCCCGGTCCCGGTGGCGTCGCACATGACGACGGCCGACTGGTGCCCCATGGCCAGATACTCGTCGTCGGAGGGGATAGGGGGGATGACGGAGAGGGAGCCATCCCTGGCGTCGTAGATGAGATAGGCTCCCATCTCCGCAATCGTATCGGCGCCAGGGTGGTACCCTCCGGCGTAGAGGGCGACCAGGTTCTTGTCCGCGCTGGAGATGTGGCCCGAGCGCAGGCCTAGGAGCGGGGCGGAATTCGGCGGCGGTAGTATGCGGAGGGAGAGGGTGGTACCCTCCGGCGTAGAGGGCGACCAGGTTCTTGTCCGCGCTGGAGATGTGGCCCGAGCGCAGGCCTAGGAGCGGGGCGGAATTCGGCGGCGGTAGTATGCGGAGGGAGGAGAGTTGCGGCGGAGAGGCGACGACTGCGCGGGCCTTGAGGGCGCGCAGGTACTCGATGACTGCATCACTCTTCGCTTTGTTGCTTGCTCCCCACGGGCAGGGGAAGGGGATTGGCACTGCGGCGGATACCGCCTCGTCGTGGGAGAAATCAACATTGCGCTTGAGTAGAACCATCGGGGGGGCAATGGCGGCTAGGGGTTAGGGTTTGGTGGAGGGAGGAGAAGGGGTTTGGGGATCGATGGTGGCGGCGCGGCGCGGCGCGGCTAGGGTTAGGGTTAGGGTGGAGGAAGCAGGCAGGCAGCGATTTGATTTGGGGATCGAGCGAGGAAGGAGAAGGGGGATTTGCCTGGTAGATCTAAAATGCAGCAGCAGGGAAACCGGCGTCAAAGGGAAAGAGGGGGCTCGCTTGGACCGTTGGATCTGTTTCGAGTAGAACGAGAGACAAGGCAAAGTGATTCAAGTATACTCTTTAGTCATGATGGAGTACATATTTATACAATGGGAAAATACACGAGTTGTGGGAGGCGTCTGTTAGGAGAGACGCGAGGAACCGCCATGTCGGTTGTCAAACTAGCAACCGTACGTGGGGATTAATACACGGATTAATCTTTAATCAAGTAATTGATTAAATCCTAACACTCCCTCTAATCACTGCTTGTCCTTCCGTATATCCATCATCTTGATAAAGTCTCCTCTAAAAATCCTGTGGGAAAAATATAAGGAGTATAGAGTTTGATATGTTGCTAAAACTCCTTCAAACCCAGTGGAAAAAATAAGAAGAAAATGGTACAACATATAATGGTCATTGTCTCTTTTAACTCAATACGAGAAAACTCATAGAGTTTAGAGGACAATAAATATGTCATATATACTTTCCCAAAAACCCCGGTGGGGAAAACAGAAAGTATGACATATGATCTCATGTTGATATTACCTCATTAAAAACCTTTATGAGACCTGTATAGTAAACTCATGAAGGAAAAAAGAGTATAATATGATGCTTTGAACAGGAACAATTCAGGAAGATACTCCCCCTGATTCTTGCATATTCCGAAGTCGTCATATACCAATTCCATGTACACATTCCTGGAATGTAAAAGTTGGTAGAGACTTTGTGAACAAATCAGTTGCATGATTTGACTTGCAAGATATGCAATATAGTGATATTGCTTATTATGTAACCTGTTTGCATCCGGGCAACAGAAGAAACATTATCGTTGAGATAATGGTTGGTGGATGTAGCCATGAGGTCTATCTCGAAGACTCTTCACGAGAGGGCTACCACGCCTAGTAGGAACACTAAGCTTGTCTACGATCTGACATAGTGGGGATCTGATCGATGTATCCAATGATATTGGTGTTCACATTTCTGTGAAACTGAAAAATCAGGATAAGATGTTTGATGCCTTGGAGATATCGAAAGATATTCTTGAATACCAACCAATTGTGTTTGGTGGATCCAATGGCATTATGGAACATTGAGTCCCAATATCTCATTTCCATCATCTCTTGGTCTAAATAGATCATTCTCTACGTCTAGAGAATGAACTACCATGAGAGTTATGGATGGATAAGATTTGTCCACAATAAATTTCTCCAATATATTATGGATATAGACATCATAGTATACCATAATGTATGAGTGAAGGTGCTCAAGTAGTAACGAGCGGTATCTTAGTTTTACCCAAAACCTTCATTTAAACTCCGTCGTTTAGATGATTACATGTATCGTCATTGCAAGAGTAATCATTGTGCATGACAGACAAACATGGATAACCATCATTGTAGGAGTAATCCTTGTGGAAAGGAGCTCACTAAGTCGGTTGTACCAAATGTACCGACAACAATAAGTCATATGGTGACTTATTGATTTTTACACAATGTATGTTGCATTTTGTATTTCGATTCAGAATTGAGATTCCACTGGAAATCAATCATATATGTCTGAATCTAGCAAGCCACATGGATATGTGATCACTACATCTATCCACTGCAGAGATAGATGATTTGTACTGCCAATGATATAAGTTATCGGAAAGAGATTCCACCTCTGGAGAATAGTTGGGTATCTGCGTAAACCCTTGTGCTACAATACTTGCTCTTTGTTTCACCACCTCGTTGTTCTCAATTCTGTTTCCAGAAAAAAAAACTGGTGTAGGTATTACTTATGAATACCTTCCCATTATTGAGCAAGATCAATTCTACCTAGATTATACCCTTTGCTTGAGTTCAGTCCGAGTGTTGTTCACACTTTGCCATGGCCGTGGTCTTTGGATCTGAATCATTTGAAAGGTTTTTGCAATCTAGTTGAGAAATGTATGTTAACAATTGTAGACTTCCGGTTATATGATTCTCCAGAATCTATATATCAATATATAGTTGATGGAAATATCGTTACCCATGGTGACTGCTCGCGATTTCCCAATGTGATTGAGTCCGGTATTCCGATGTCCCAGTCATTATGTGCACTATGACCTGGGTTGGTGGAGGTTTCCCGTCCACTGGGTGTATACTACCCATTAGGTGTCTGCCAACGTGAAGTTGACTTGCATTTACTGATTCACAAGCCTTGATATCCTTACTTGCGAGAAGCTGAATCCTGATGTACTTCTGCCATACATCTCCCCCTGTTGCTTTGAACGGGGAGTGGAGTGGATTTTGTTGGTAACTCCACTCTTTCAGGCGTACTTTTGCAGGATTGTAGGATTGTGTGATACCTTTATAGTCAGTAAATGAATCTGGCAGGTTATTTGCAATATGTTGCAAATCTTCTGAACGCATGGTTCAGCTCTTTGAGTACGTGGATATGAGGAAGAAATGTGTTGAACATTCCACTAATTTTCTGGCATTCTTTATGGTACTTGAATTCTCCCCCTAATGCCTGGAAATATTCCTCATTGAAACAACATACTTGCCTTGAATAACTCACCATGTGAGGGGCTTGAGGTATTGACGATAATACAGTTATTCCTCACATAGATCCCAACTATATGTTGAGGGGCCAATGATGTATGTCGGCGTGATGATATCGGTGTGTAACCGAATTATCGCAGATAGGAAATACTTGGTAGATTTCCACGTATCAAAGATAGAGGGGAATAATATTATGCAGTTTGGTCATGAGCGTGTAAAACTGCATGACTCCAACGTAAAGTTGGTAAGTTGCAATTTCAAAGTAAAGATAATACAATGAGCTTAACTCTTTGGATAAAGGATTTTACCAAACCATTTTGAGTGTAGACATTAGGACAAATTGCTAAACTTCAATCTGAGGGCCATAGGAAGGCACTCAAGAAGAATTCGGCAATGTTATCCATTCGATTGCTTGAAATCGATGTCAGGATAATGAGTCGATGGTTTCGTGTGAATAAAGCACACATTAAGACCATCATGTAGATATATCTTTTAGAACCATGGAATGCCTGAATAGTCTAGTCAATGGATGGGAAGAGCCACTTACCTCAACTTGATGCATTCAAGGAGTCTGAGTGGTTCAGCGTAGACTTTAAGGTGTGCGAGCCTTAAAATTAGCTTCCCTGTGTCACTTATAGTGCACATAAAATCCAAATGTTGTTAGAATTTAGCATCATAATAATCATAAACTATTGGAATTGCTGATAGTTTCGGTTTCAACCCAATGTCTCGATGACCAAGACGAGTATGCCAAGTTGTCATGTACAAGACACTCGGGAAAACTATTTCGTACACCACATGTGCTACGGGGTTGTGTCGTATGTGTAGTACAATCCAGATGATACACAGAAAATGTGCTTGCCATATCCGTTGTATATGGTAAAGAGAAGTTATTTCTCTTTGTTGTCATCATAAGTTTCGCTATGGAAACTATTTTGACGGATACCTCCATAGTTTAGTAGGATACGAGTTTAAGCGGGAAGCAATAAAACATCCTTAAGTTACTCGAGTACCCATAGGGATAGTAAATATGACTCGAGTTGAGCCAACAAATACCTCGTCGCATCTAGCGATTTTAAAATATCTCCTTTTCTCCCAACGAGAGTGAAAACATTTTACTTCCCTGAGTATAGAGTTCGTGGTGCATATGTCCACAAGGCACAAATCATCTTTCATCAGATTGACCCCCGTAAAAATCTATATATAGACATGAAGATTCTCAATATGAAAATCACTCAGATATATAGAATACATACAAATGTATTTGTACCAAAGTGCTGATACAATATATTGTGATATACAATATATGATGACAACAATACTTATGTTCTTATTAGAACATCGTAAATGGACATAAATTGCGTTGACCACTCAGGAGATTGAGAGACTAGACGAAGTCTTCAAACATGTTAGTTGGTGCATATTCAACCTTCATGTTCTCCGTGCTCATAGAGTCTCATGACTGCTGATAGTCATGTTGGAGGGATGAAGTGAGATTCAAACCTTTGCCCTTGAGATTCTTTACATCCCAGGAATAGCTGATACAGAATAACCAGATGTTGAGATCTGCTTCGATATAATGCCTTAAGATTTATAAGGCAACATATTTTTCTGTTAGCGGTGTGATCCCGACCAGAGGTGAATCCTACGGTCTTGGATTGCACACATTATTCCACGAGACACAAGAGCGATCATGATGTCGATGGCCCAGATAGGACAGTGGTAACCATTGAGGACGAATGCCTCAAACTTTATAGTCATGTGTTACCTCTATGGGTAAACCAAAAATAATTAATTTACATCTAGTAAATTAAAAACCATCATGGTTGATGTTGTAATGAACTTAGCAAAATCAATGGGTATTTCAAGAAGTTATCTTGAAACCATTAGTATGAATCTCAAATTGCTAAGTATGACATCTTGAAGATAGGGAGTAGATCTCGCAGCACTAGGGAGTATAATCTAATGAAATCAGTAGATACTCACTTCTAATGCCTTATGTCATGACTTAGTAAAATGTGTGGAAGAGCACTTTGTAAAGCAATCATAATGTCAAAATGACAAAATATAGGTTGTATCAACAGTCATTGATAATCTGAGTAGGCAGTAGATCCATATGACTACCTTGTGATCTCAATCATCAATTTGAAGAAATCACCTTGAATTTTGCATCCGTATTTGCAAGAAATTGGAAATCTCAATTGCAAATAGACGTACTAATTTCGACATGTGGTTAACATGAAAATAGATACATCATATAA